AAGAAGAAGAAGAAGAAGAAGAGAAGAAGAAGAAGAAGAGAAGAAGAAGAAGAAGAAGAGAAGAAGAAGAAGAAGAGAAGAAGAAGAGAAAGAGAAGAAGAAGAAGAAGAGGAGGAGGAGAAGAAGAAGAAGAAGAGTTGTCAATTTCTGGTTAACTATTTGGTCTAATTGTTTTCCTATTCATTGACACATGTTTCCTGATTATGCTGAGAAGAAAGCAGTCAGTTTTGATGGGTCCTTTGGCCTAACTGTTTTCCGTATTTCATTACAAATAAAATACAAGAACTTCCTCCTCATTTGACTTCATTTTTGACATGGAATCTAATATGTACAACAGATGGAGGGTGCAACTGCAAAGCACGCCAAGGCAAAAAAGGGAGCCGGAGAACGAAAGAGACAGGGTCAAGTGCAGGAGCACCTTAGAGACCAACAAGGTTTTGGCGGTGTCACCTTTTCAAGGGGCAACGTTCCTGCCATTATACTCAAGAAAGACAGGGGTACAGAACACAACACCACATGCAGAGCCACGAGAGCCAGCGGGGGGTGTGGGAATGTGGAGCGCCACGAAACTGCCACGGACAGAGCCAACTTCAGGGGCCGGGAAGCCATTTTTCTCCAGGCCAGTTTGGCCGGAGATCCTGGAGAGGTTTTTTTTTTTGCCCTCTTCTCGGCATGGAGCAGGGGGTCCCTGGGGGTGTGGAGGGGGAGGGAGTTGTGAATTTCCTGCATTGTGAAGGGGGGGTTGGACTAGATGACCCTGGAGGTCCCTTCCAACTCTCTAGGATCCTATGGTTGCGGTCACACACACCAGTTGAAGGCGGTCGTTCCGCTCTGTTCTGCTGTGGTCAGGCCTCACCTGGAGTCCTGTGTCCAGTTTTGGGCACCACATTTTAGGAAGGATGCTGACAAGCTCGAGCGTGTCCAGAAGAGGGCAACCAGGATGGTGGCAGGGTTGGAATCCAAGTCTTACGAGCAGGGGTCGTTTCGTAGAAAAAGAGCTAGGGGAACTCATTAGTATAACTCATTAGCATATGCCACACCCCTGACATCACCGGAAGTGTGTCATAAGGCCACACACCCCACCCCCAACGGTCCCGGTTGCCGCCGCCGGCCTTACAACTCCACTGCCGAGGCCCATGAGGGCCCTCCCTGGCCCCAGGCAGGGGTGGGGAGAGGCAGGGAGGAAGCAACTTACCCTCCCTCTTCTCCTGCCTCCTCCTGGCTGAATGAGGGCCGGAGGCGGGGCGGCCGGAAGCAGGGGGCGGGGCTTCGTCATGTGCCCCGCCCCCCATACCTCACCCGGAGGAACTGCGATTCCCCACAATCCCCCCCGAAATGACCTCTGCTTACGAGGAAAGGCTGAAAGAGTTGGGTCTGTTTAGCCTGGGAAACAGAAGGCTAAGAGGGGATATGGTTGCAGGCTTCAAGTATCTGAAGGGCTGTCATGTAGAAGATGAAGCGGATCTATTCTCTCTTACTCCAGATTGGAAGACTAGGTCTAATGGGTGGGAATTACAAGGGAGTCGTTACCGGCTAAATATCAGGAGAAATGTCCTGACTGTGAGAGTGGTTGAGCAGTGGAGCAGTCTGCCTCGGGAGGTGGTGGAGGCTCCTTCGCTGGACGTCTTCAAGCGGAGGCTGCATGACCATCTTTCAGGTGTGTTGTAGGGCTATCTTTCGGCTATGCTCCTGCAGAGTGCAGGGGGTTGGGCTAGATGACCTGCAAGGTCCCTTCCAACTCTAACATGCTATGATTCTATGTGTGTTTTCACCCATTTCTTTTGTATGTGGATGCTCCTTCGCGGGACGTTATCAAGCAGAGGCTGGACGACCCTCTTTCGGGTATGTTGTAGGTATGTAGGGCTGCCTTTTGGCTCTGCTCCTGCAAAGTGCAGGGGGGTTGGGCTAGATGACCTGCAAGGTCCCTTCCAGCTCTTAACATTCTATGATTCTATAACAAGCGGAGGGGAAACGAGGCTGTTTCCGCCGGAGGCATCTGACACGCCGTCGCGAGATCACACAGTCCTTTGTAGCAGCGGCTGCAGCCCATTGCTGTGTGATCAGACGCAACCGTGGGCGAGTCAGGGGTTTTTTTTGCCGTTTCCCCCCCCATGCGCATGAATGAGGAACCGCACCACTGCACTGAGGGCCCCCTATGGAGTATGCGATGATGTGCATTCTGCAAAGGGGGGGGGAACCCGGCACTGAGCTGGGACGGCCTGATCAGACCGTCCCAACGGCACGAGTGCGTGCTTGTGCGGTCAGACAGGGGGACGTCCGCCCGTGGCCCACTGTTTACCACCAGACTTTCCCCGGTGTCTTTCATCTCCGCTTCTGCAGCAGGGTTTGCCAACGACTGCGGGACGCTTCCCAGATGTTGCTGTCTGATCGTGCCCTTTCGATCTGTCAGGCATTCACTGCTCTGTCGGATCTAAAGGCCCGCGTGATCGCAGCCTAAGATTCATGGGTCCTGCCGGCCTGGGAGGACTCCGCAGGGTCGCAGGCGGAAGATCCTTTCCCGTCACATCCTTCCGCGTCCTTTCGAGGGGACAGGCGGCCACCTGGCCTTGATCCTGAGACCTCCCACGAGCCACGCGGATGCTCTGCCACGGAGCCACGGCCCCTCCCGAAGCAGACGTCTCCTCCACCTCTCCTGACATCAACCACGGGCAGGGCTATTTTTGGGCAGGAACGCACAGGAACGGAGTTCCGGCTGGCTCCCGAGTTGGCCACACCCAGCAGGAACTCATTAGCATAACAGGCCACACCCAGCAGTAGAAACTCATTAGGATTGGCTACATTGGGGGTGTGTGGCCTAACATGCAAAGGAGTTCCTGCTACAAAAGAAGCCCAGGGTTTTGACAACAAACAAGGTAAACAGAATAGGAAGCAAAAGGTGGGTGTGGCTGGATGACCACACTTCTGGTAATATCCTAATGAGTGGTGCAGCCAGGGGGTGTGGCCTAATATGCTCATGAGTTTCTGCTGCTGGGTGTGGCCTGTTATGCTAATGAGTTCCTGCTGGACTTTTTCTACAAAAAGAGCCCTGACAGCGTTTCCACACCCGGCTCGTGCCAACACCGAGCCCTTCCCCTGGGGAAATTGTCCTGCTGCTGGCCGTACTCACCCGCTCGCCAGGGTCGCCGGGAGGTCCGGGTGGGCCCTGGGTGCCTGATGGACCGCTGATCCCCTGCAGGGTAAGAAGAAGGAAGAGCGCTCGGTCGTGGTCCTTGGATCAGGAAAGGGGGACAGGAGACGGGGCGCGTGTCTCACGGGCCCCCTCGCCCTCTACCCCATCCCCCCCGGCCACGCCACGGCCCCCAAGGCTCTTACCGGAGGTCCTTCGGGGCCAGGGGGACCTTCAACCAACATCCCCTGCAAAGAGAGAGGGAGAAAGACACACACACCAGAGGGGGACAATGTTAGGAAGCTAAGACAGCCAGCAGCCTCCTCCTCCTCCTCCTCCTCCTCCAGGTCTGGCCCAGACGAAAGTTCTCTCTCTCTTTAACTTCCCATGAAAGAGGCTGTTGTTTGTACACCCCAGAGGGAAGAGGCTGTGATTTCAGGGCTACTCCGGAGGAGATAAGCACTCCCAAGCAGCAGCATCTAAACAAGTGAGTCCCAGAGCACTGGAGCCACACCGAGGCGCCGGAGGTCACTCGCGGGTCACCATGCCTCTCCGGAGGACTTCCGACGGCCACCCAGCAGAGGCGGCGGAGCAGGAGTTTGCATAGCACCACCACCCCGCCACCACCCCGCCAATGTTTCCTCTAAGCCGTGGAGTCTTGTGAGCAAAAATCCTACTTTGTGAGCTGCTGGCATTAAAGTTGTGAGCGAGCGATTGGGCTGCTGAATAAATCGGTTTGCTCTGGAGCCCTTCCTTCCGGAGCCAAGACGAAAATGTGTGAGCCGGAGGCTAAAAATACTGTGAGCTAGCTCACACTAACTCAGCTTAGAGGGAACACCCCGCCCTTGGGAATACGGCCGCACAGCAGGAAGTGAAGCGCAGAAGGGGCTGCAATCCCAGGACACGGCCGGAGGGTGCAAGCCGGCTCTTCGGCAATGCATGAAAGGGGCAGAAACGGTGTGAGAGCCGTGCGTTAGGGGCAGCGCGTTAGGAGCTGCGAGGCCCAGGTTGTTATGTATCTGGCATTGAATCATCCCTGATTGGATCACCCTGGAGACTGGCTGCCTGAATAATCCCTGATTGGATCACCCTAGAGACTGGCTGAGCTTGGAGCACAAGAACAATAGCCGACCAGGACTCTGGAATAAACCAATCAAGGCCCCGCTCACACGGGGAATTTGCCGCGGGACAGCCACGATTGGATGGCGGATTTTCCGGCCGCGATCACACCACAACATCTGGGAAGTGGAGCACACCCGTGGCATGCCGCCGAACATGTGCGATAAAAAAAAATCACAACAAAGGTGATAGCGAACGGTTTGCTACGGGCTGCCTCCGGACTCCCTTGGTGTGATCACCCAGGCGCGGCTTTTCCCTCCAGCCGTCTGCGTTGCAGCGCACACGCCGAGGGATGGAATTGTGGGTTGCCGCTGATGCGTCCGATCGCGTTGTCACGTGGCTACTTGCGGCGCCACAAATAGCCACGCCTCCCCCCTGCGTTTTCCGGCCCGTGTAACCGGGGCCCACCCCCGCCCCCCACCCAAGTCCTGCTGGAGAAAGCTCCACGTCCTTTGCCCTCCGCCCCCAGCCTAGGACCAGTTCCCTCTAAGCTGAGTGAGTGTGAGCTAGCTCACAGTTCTTTAGCCTCCGGCTCAAATATTTTTGCCTTCGCTCAGGAGGGAGGGCTCCAGAGCAAACGGATTGATGCAGCAGCCAAATCGCTCGCTCACAACGTTAACGCCAGCAGCTCGCAAAGTAGGGTTTCTGCTCACAAGACTCCACAGTTTAGAGGGAGCAAAAATCCCCTAAAAAAAAAAAAAAAGTCGGCTGCAAAGTGCGATTTAAAGAATTATATGTTGTCCTCCTACCCCTATGAAATTGTTAGTCCCTTGTGTGAAACCGTGTAACTGTAAATCGCTCAGAGCCAGCAGCTTTGCCGGATTGAGCGATCAATGAATCGAAAGGTATTATTATTATTATTATTATTGCTCCAGAGCAAACTGATGCAGCCGTCAAATCGCTCGCTCACAACTTTAACGCCGGCGGCTCACAAAGTAGAATTGTTGCTCACCAGACTCTGCAGCTTAGAGGGAGGCATTGGACCAGACCCCCCTTCCCTGGGACTTACCGGTTCGATGACGGCCGGCTCTCCCTTCTCTCCTTTGTAGCCGCGGGCTCCTCGCACTGCCTGTGGGTAACACACATGTAACCGGAAAGAGGGGTCCGGTCAGTATAGTGGAGCCACAGCCCTGGCCTGCCGGACCCCCCCCTCCCGTTGCCCACACGGGCCTCCTCTTCAGGGCACCAGAGCCGATCCCAGAGCAGAGGTGGCCAGGAGGGTTATCTGCAGGGCTATTTTGGGGCAGGAACGCACAGGAACGGAGTTCCGGCTGGCTCCCGAGTTGGCCACGCCCAGCAGGAACTCATTAGCATAACAGGCCACACCCGACACCAGAAACTCACTAGGATTGGCTACATTTGGGGTGTGTGGCCTAACAAAGGGTTCCTGCTACAAAAAAAGGCCCTGGGTTTTGACAACAAACAAGGTAAACAGAATAAGAAGCAAAAGGTGGGTGTGGCTGGATGGCCACACTTCTGGTGGCACGGGGGTGTGGCCTAATATGCTAATGTGCTGTGCTGTCAGGGGGGGTGGCCTACTATGCTAATGAGTTTCTACTGTTGGGTGTGGCCTGTTATGCTAATGAGTTCCTGCTGGGCTTTTTCTACCAAAAGAGCCCTGGCTATCTGTGTTCACGGAGAACCTCCAACTTAGGCACTTGTTCATTTTCTGGCATTTGGAAAGTTTTGTTTCTTGTTTCTAGGTGCGTCCCTTTTGAAATTCTTGTTAGGGCTGGGAGGTGCTCCCAAGGGAGGGGGGGGCCCTTCACAGAAGCCCATCTCCTGCCAATCTGGGTTTGCAGGGAACTGGCAGGGGGACTGCTTCTCCGTGCAGCCGGAAACCCGGCCTGCCTCGCTTGCGCACTGCAAAAGGCCCCGATCCGTTGTGGGCTTGGGTGTGTGACATGGTCACGTTGCATGCCCCCCCCCCCCCCGTGAGCACAACTCGTGCCATCCCCCCCCCACAGTGGAAACGCTTCCCCTAATCTGGTCATGAGAACTTCAAGCAAAGCCTGATCTAGCTGTTGCTAGCTGTTGTAGATTTCCCGGGTCGTGTGGCCGTGGTCTTGGCATTGGCGGACCGGACGTTTCGCCAGCAGCTGTGACTGGCATCCTCAGAGGCAGGGCTATTTTTGGGCAGGAACGCACAGGAACGGCGTTCCGGCCGGCATCAGAGCTGGCCACGCCCACTACAGCCCAAACCTCTCTGTGTGGGGGAGGGAAGGCCTGGAGAGCGACACCCCACCCGGTGACTCAAAGGCGGGTGGGCCGGGGGGGGCCTGGAAGGTTTGGGGAGGCATTTAAATGCCTCCTCGTGCCTTCCCTGGCCTGTCTAAGCAGCCACGGGGCGCCCAGGCAAGCCAAGGGAAGGCATGGGGTGTGGCCTAATATGCAAATGAATTTCTGCTGTTGGGTGTGGTCTATTATGCTAATGAGTTCCTGCTGGGATTTTCTACAAAAAAAGCCCTGCTCAGAGGTATAACACAGAAAGATGGAGAACTCTCTGTGTCAAGGTGAGAAGAAAAATGGTAGGCAGGTAATTTATATCTACTCAGGAAGGTGGGGTAGGGCTGAGCCATTATCTTGTAGGAGTTCCCCAAGCTGTGTACATGCTAATGGAGGAGCTTTCCTGAGGAGGTTCTTTTGTAGATGGATTGTCTCCTGAGGAGGTTTCCTGTTTCCTGAGGAGATTCTAATCTTATCTGTAGTGTTATTCTCAGATGTAGAGCCTTTTGTGTTTTTCGGGATAGGAAACCATGCCCTATTTTTTTTACCCTATGGGGGTGTTTTACCCTATGGGGTGCCCTCCCAAAAGGCAGTGAAATGGTGTCCCTCCCACCTCCGCAGAGCCCCCATCCCCATTCCGGATATTTAGGGTTCCTGTAGACAAACCAAGCAGCAGGCCCTTGAACATGTGGTCTACAGGGGGGAGGCATTGAGGGATGGGGGCGCCCTTCCAAGGTGGTAGCGTGGCGTGCAAATTACCGTGTCCCATTTGGGGGCTTCTGCCCGTCCCCCAAATCGGCAATTGAGGCCAGCGCTAGCACCATCCTCGGAAAGGGGGCTACCACAGAGATGGTCCTGTAGTGAGAAGACATCCCAGGGCACGTGATGACATCACAAAATGTGCAGGGAACCCTGAATGGACTCAACCCCAGGATGGCAGCCCTTCTCAACACAAACCCCTCAGGGGCTGCTAGAAATATCCATGGGTAAAGCATGGAGGGTGATGTAATCACAGGAAGTGACGTCATTAAGGAAAGGGATGACATCACGGGAAAGAGGAATCAAACAACCGGGAACCCCTCAAGACAAAAACAGCTGAAAAGGGTTAACAGTCAGCATGTGAAAAGCATAAACCAACAACAACAACAGGAAGTGAGGACAGAAGAAGAGACCCGGGTCCCTATTGCAAACAGGAAGTGGCCTCGCGTGGGAAAGGAAGCAGCCCCTCCCTCACAGAGTGATGGCGGAGGTGGCAGGAAATGACAGCTCCTAACAGGAAGTGAGACAGAACCAGCCAGAAATGGGCAACATTGAACAGGAAGCGACAAAAACAGCCAAAACCACACAACAACAAAACGGAGAAAATCGCTAAGGAACAGCAAACAACAAGAGCTACACAATGCAAACAAGATGACTGAACAGGAAGAGACGTTGCAACTCAGCAGCCAATGGCACCAACTAAAATAGGGGGGAACAGGAAACAAATAGATAATGGACATTGGTTGGACATGCCACAAGCCAGCAGCCAATCAGGATGGCAAGCCCACAGCAAGAGGAAGTGACATCACAGCGCTCAACGACGACAGCCACAAACAGGAAGCAGACCCTGGAGACAGGAAGACTCCCACAGAAGTGCCCCCAGAGCCCGCCCAATGGGCGCAGCACCCCACTTACGCCTCCGCTGTGTGGGGTCTCGGCTGAGAGCACGGGACCCAGCTCGGATGGCTCTGCCCCCTCGCCGTAATGAGCCTGGCCGTATTCATACTCCAGCCCCACTCCGGGCACTTCCTCTTCTGTGAACACCTCCTCCTCGGCGGGACGGGGGCCAGACACTTCCTCCTGACGCCCCGCAAGACAGGGACCCAACAACACGTTACAGGAGACCGTGGGGCCCGGCCCCACACCCATGTCCCTCCCAGACCTCTGGCCCTCCCTTGCCAGGGAAGAATGCATTCACTTGACTGCCGGAGAGTCCAGCACTTGGACCTCCATTCCGCACCACTGGCTCCCCCCCCCAAGAGAGCTCCAGGGCTCTGGATCCTGCCCGCTTCTCTTCCCAGCTGCCCCAACCACCGAAGGTTTCTTTGGTTCACCATTCTCTTCCCAAAGTGGTCAGAAACAGGCGAGGGAGCAGTCAGAAGTTCACCCTTTCTCGAGCAGGGAACCCCAAGCCCTTCTTCTTCTCCTTATCTTTGGGAGCCTGTCTGGACTGATGGCCACTGCCACAAAATGGCCGCCACAAAATGGCCACCCCCATAGACAGAGCCAGCCACAAAATGGCCACCACCAGCGGCAGAGCCACCCACAAAATGGCTGCCGCACAGTGAAGGTCTTTGCGTTCTGGTGGCAGCTGATGCCAAAGGAACCATGTTTTTTTTTAATCTACACAACCCAGCCAAATCTCCAGTGGCCAATCAGAAGACTTTCTGGGCAAAAACCAGTTAGCCCTGCCCACTTTCCAAAAATGCTCGGCGGGCACCAGAATAGGCACCATGTTGGGGTCCCCTGGTCTAGCGCCTTCCTCCCCCCTCCAATCTCATGCCAGGGGGGTATTTACCTCTCCCCGGGGCGACGAGGGTGCAGGAGAGGACGCCTCCCCTGCGGGGCTCCCGTCCCAGTAGGTGCCTTCGGCGTCTGGTGGGAGGGTGTAGTCGGGGTATTCGTGAACCCCCCAGGGCTCCTCTGTGGGTTGCAGACCCACATCCTTGGTTACCAGTGAGTACATGTGGAGGAGGGAGGAAGGAAAGCCAAGGAGAACACAGGGAACGTGCGAGGGGTGTGTGTGTGTACACACACAAAAGGTGGTTGTCGCATCGGAGAATGGATGGAGAGAAGGGTGGATGGGAGCAGAGAGGGTGGATGGAGAGTTGATGAGCCAGAAAACAGAAAGGAGGCAGGAGAAGGAAAAAGAGAGTGAGGGAGGGAGGGAGAAGGAGAGAGGGGGAGAGGGAGAAGGAGAGGGAGAGGGAGGGAGGGAGGGAGAAGGAGAGAGGGAGAGGGAGAGAAGGAGAGGGAGAGAGGGAGAAGGAGAGAGAGAGGGAGATGGAGAGAAAGAGAGGGAGAGAGGGAGAGAGGGAGAAGGAGAGGGAGATGGAGAGAGGGAGAGAGAGGGGGGAGGGAGAGAGGGAGAAGGAGAGGGAGATGGAGAGAGGGAGAAGGGGAAGGAGAGGGGGAGGGGGAGGAGGGGGCCTAAAGCCAGTTTCATCTGACAGTCTTCCTGCCTCCCTCTATCCCATTTATATCTGTCCTACCTCCCAAGAAGCTCAGGTGGCAAACATGGTTCTCTTTCTCCATTTTCTTCTCACAACAGCCCTGTAACAGAAAGGGGGAGAGAGAGAGAAAAAGAGAGTGAGAGAGGGAGGGAGAGGGAGGGAGGGAGAGAGGGAGAAGGAGAGGGAGATGGAGAGAGGGAGAAGGAGAGGGAGATGGAGAGAGGGAGAAGGAGAGGGAGAGAGAGAGAGACCATTAGTACAAACATGTTCTCTTGTGCCCTGGAGGCAGAAGAGGAGGATATCCCCATCCCGGATCATTTTTCCACTGTGGAGCAAATTGATCTGGGGGGACGGCAGAACCATACATCTCACTGGGATTAAGAAGCCAGCCTTGTATGGGGACGGGTCCATGTTTGGGAAAGAAGGGGCAAGCGAAATGCAGGGCCAGAACTTGGAGCGGGGGGGGTGGGTGGGCAGGGGGGAGGCCCGATCCCACCCGGTCCCCAGCTCAACGGGGAGCATCGTGTTCGCAAGTTCCCTGGCACTGACTGGCCATTTCCCTTGCCTGGGACGGCTTCCCAACAACCCGTATTTTGGGGACATGCACGACACAGTTAACGGAGACACTGTTGCACACAGATGAGGTGGGGGGAGACACACAGAGACACGGATACGGGGGGTGTTTGGGGGGAAGGGCGGTCCTCCCGGCCCCCCTCCAGGATACCAGGCTGTGCCCGGCACCAGCCTACATCCTTTCTTCTCGCTCTACCTGCTGGTAGCTGTTGCCCGGACTCCGGACTCCCCCAGTGCCGGCGTAGGCCTGGTTCCCGCTTTTGCCCGGGGAATTTTTCGTGGCGGAGGATTTCCCTGCCGAAGCTGCCTTGGAGCTGCCGCCGCCGCCCCCGCCGTAGGACTTCCCATTGCCAGAGGGGGACTTCCCGTTGCCGGGATACTTCCCGTTGTTGGGGGACTTCCCGTTGCCGGGATACTTCGGGTGACCGGGGTCCTTCCCGTTTTTGGTCCCCGTCTTGGCATAGCTGGGCGACGTGCCCATCAACTGGCGCTTCTGGGGCTGCTTCGGTTTGGGTTTGGCGGGGGTCTTGGCCTTGGCCGCTTTCTAGCGACGACAGCGGTGGAGGAAGAGGTGGAGGTCATGACGATGGCGGTGGTGATGGTGGTGATGATGATGATGAGATGGATGATGGAGAGAAGCAACAGACACAAGAAGCAAAGACAAACAGAAGCATGAGTCCTGCAGCAGCGAGAGCCCAGGGGATGGGGGGTGGCCCAAGCCAGCCCCCCCCCCCCCCCCCCCCAACTCTATCTCCTGCCGAGTGCCAGTAGAGTCTGAGTCTAGCCTGCATCTGACCATGCACAGAGTGCACTGCCTTTAGCGGTGGGTTACGAGAGCCAACCCTTTGCTCAGCCAGCATCCAACACACAAAAATGCTTTGCCGAACCAGGAGGAAGGGTGCCCTGGAGCGCTCTGGAAGGGCCCCCACCCAAGCAGCAGCACTGTCCCCCAGACCTTCACATGGGCACACAATGAGAAGAGAAGAAGAGAAGAGCAGAGATTGGATTTATACCCCATGGCCCTTCACTACCCAAAGGAGTCTCAGAGCGGCTCACAAACTCCTTTCCCTTTCCCCTCCCCACAGCAGACCCCCTGGGAGGTCGGTGGGGCTGAGAGAGCTCTTGACAGAAACGGCTCTTTTTCAAGGACAGCTCTTGTCAGAACTACGGCTTGCCCAAGGTCACCCAGCCAGGTGCAAGTGGAGGAGTGGGGAATCAAACCCGGTTCTCCCAGATTAGAGTCCGCGCACTTCACCACTACACCAAACTGGTCAAAACTGAGGAGGAGGAGATTGGATTTATACCCCACCCTTCACTCGGAGTCTCAGAGCAGCTTACAAACTCCTTTCCCTTCCCCTCCCCACAACAGACACCCTGTGAGGTAGGTGGGGCTGAGAGAGCTCTGACAGAAACTGCTCTTTTTCAAGGACAGCTGTGCCAGAGTTATGGCTTGCCCCAGGTCATCCAGTCAGGTGCAAGTGGGGAATCAAACCCGACTCTCCCAGATTAGAGTCCGTGCACTTAACCACTACACCAAACTGGCCGAAGCTGAGGAGGAGGAGGAGATTGGATTTATACCCCACCCTTCACTCGGAGTCTCAGAGCAGCTTACAAACTCCTTCCCTTTCCCCTCCCCACTACAGACACCCCCTGTGAGGTAGGTGGGGCTGAGAGAGCTCTTTTTCAAGAACAGCTCTTACCAGAACTACGGCTTGCCCAAGGTCCTCCAGCCAGGTGCAAGTGGAGGTGTGGGGAATCAAACCCGGTTCTCCCAGATTAGAGTCCATGAACTTCACCATGACAGCAAACCCCCCACCCTTCCATTAGCCACAAAAAAAGCCACAGAAGGGAACCTGGAACCGCCTAACATGCCCTGGGCTCCACGTCTGGGTGTAGAAGAAGCAAATGCCCCTCTGTGGCCCTCTAACGTGGCACAGGTGAAACCCTGGCTCACACCCTCACCTGCCCCATGCCTCCCCCCCTGCGCATAGCCTAAGATGGCTGGCTGAGGGGGCCTTCCCCCTTACACCCTCCCAGGGGATGGGGGGTTCACCTCCGCCACACCCAGCCTTGCCCCCTGCTTTGGTGTAGGGGTGTGGTGTAGTTAAGCGCACAGTTTGGTGTCGTGGTTAAGTGTGTGGACTCTAATCTGGGAGAACGGGGTTTGGTTCCCCACTCCTCCACTCGCACCTGCTGGATGACCTTGGGCAAGCCGTAGTTCTGTTAAGAGCTGTTCTTGAAAAAGAGCCGTTTCTGTCAGAGCCCCACCTACCTCACAGGGTGTCTGTTGTGGGGAGGGGAAGGGAAAGGAGTTTGTAAGCCGCTCTGAGACTTTCTTCTTCTTCTTCTTCTTCTTCTTCTTCTAATGTTTTAAGCATGTTTTTATTGTAAGTAAAAAAAAATCTTTGTGTTTGTGCCCTTTATAAAGTTTATATCCCCGCTATCTGGCATTACATGGCCCGGCCCAACAAGGTCTCGTTTATGTCTGATCCGGCCTTCATAACAAACGAGTTCGACACCCCTACTCTAAGCATTTGACGGTCTCCCGCATGAGACTGCCCTAGCTGAATCAGGTAAGTAGCTTTCATTCAAAAGTAGGAGGATGTGGATTTTTAGGTAGCATCCCCTTTTCTGAGAGATATTGTATTACGGGGTACCGCAATTTCGTAAATCATTCTTAATTCTTACATAATTCTTCTGAATCAACCGGCCAGAAGAGGACTCGTGAAAACACGAGAGGCTGAACGGAACGCTAAACACAGCACACTCCATGGGGAGATCAGTTTGCGCTGTGTACAAATGTGCTGTGCCCGGCCCAGCACTGGACACGGTTTTCAGATAAATTCTACGCTGCCATTTTAACCTAGCGGTTGTTTCTCGGTGATTTCTCTGCTCTTTCGCAGTTCAGTTTCTGTACAGCTGTTTTTAGCTTCACCTCGTGCTGACGACTCTTAATTTCATGTTTTCGCTGCTATAAGTTGTTGCTGTTGCTGGAAGCGCTCTTGGAAATGTTGATTAAGAGAGCAGAGCAAAAGTGTTTTAAACAAATATAGTCCCTTCGAGGAAACCGGGGAGGCCCCCGTCTCTTCTGCAACTCCATAAAAGCTGCAAGGAGGAATGGCAGAGCCTCTGGGTGGTTCTTACATGCCCAGGGAAATGCCAGTCACCACGTTGGGGGTCAGGAACAGTGTTCCCTCTAAGTTGAGTGAGTGTGAGCCAGCTCACAGTTTTTAGCCTCCGGCTGATACATTTATGTCTTAGCAGAGGAAGGAGGGCTCCAGAGGAAACTAATTTCTGCAGTAGCCAAATCGCTCAGCTCACAACTTCAATGCCAGGAGCTCACAATGTAGGATTTTTGCTCACAAGACTCCGCAGCTTAGAGGGAGCATTGCCGAGAATAAAACGTTGTGGGCCTTCAAAATGCCCCTGCACTCAAACTTCGTCCTGTTGCTTCAGACCGACATACCCGACCGCCTACGTCGGGCTGAGAGAGCTCTGAGAGAAAGAAGGAGGAGGAGGAGGAGACTGGATTTATACCCCACCCTTCACTACCCAAAGGCGTCTCAGAGCAGCTTACAAGCTCCTTTCCCTTCCCCTCCCCACAACAGACACCCTGTGAGGTAGACGGGGCTGAGAGAGCTCTCCCAAGGACTGCCCTTGAGAGAACAGCTCTGAGAGAACTTGTGACTGACCCAAAGTCACCCAGCTGGCTGCATGTGGAGGAGGCGTGGGGAATCAAACCCAGTTTTCCCAGATTAGAGTCCGCACACTTAACCACTACACCAAACTGGCTCCCTCTAAAATGAGAAGAGAAGATTTATGCCCAGCCCTTCACTACCCAACGGTGTCCCAGAGGGGCAAACAAACTCCTTTCCCCTCCCCTCCCCACAACAGACAGACACCCTGTGAGGTCAGTGGGGCTGAGAGAGCTCTTGACAGAAACTGCTCTTTTTTCAAGGACAGCTCTTATCAGAACTACGGCTTGGCCAAGGCCATCCAGCCAGATGCAAGTATAGGAGTGGAGAATCTAACCCGGTTCTCCCAGATTATTGTCCGCACACTTAACCACGACACCAAAGAGGCAACTGCCCCCTCGGCTACACAAACACATGACCCTTTAATTTCTAAGGCAGGCCAGGAGGGCTGCCAAATGTCCACTCTTGCCCACACTAAGAGCATTTTTAAAGGTATTTTTTTAAAAAACCTGCCCATATGTAAGGACACTCTCTGGAAAACAGGATAGCCACAATGAGTGGGAAACGTTACGTGTGTCAGCTAGCCGTTTATCTGCGAAAAACAGACTCTGGAACGAAATCGTAAAAACCGCCTGGGCGAATTCTGTGACTGGGAACGCCAGCTGAGTTTGGTCGGCTCAGGTCGACGGCGGGAAAGCTGTTGACTTCAGCCGGGAAGGTAAGAACAGCGACGTCACTGGCAAAGAACGTGCTCCCCGTTCATGAATGAACAGGGCCGTGTACATTCTGGACGTGGCAAAGGCATGCCTGTATGGCTGCCATCTTGGGTAGGAAAGCCCCTCCCGCTGGGCAAGGGGCAAGGGCGTAGACTTTCCAATTTTCCGGGGGGGGCTGGGGCTGGGCCAGAGGCATTGCTAAGTCATTAAAAGAACTGGGACCCAATGACATCATAGGGAGGATCTAGTGACATCACAGGCATGGTCATTATCTATGGAGGTGGACCCATGTGGGCTCCCCAGAAATTTAGGGAGGCCTGGGAACCGCCCTAGCAATGTCCCTGGGCTGGGCTAACCCCAGGAACAGTTGCCTTCTTAGAACACTGCTTAGAAACTTAGAAAGCCCCCACACACACCCCACACTGGAATAAGAACATAATATCAGGCCATACCACATTGCAATAAAGCCCCTACAACTTTATACAGAAATACTGAGCTTCCCTACCATTTGCCACAACTAGCCCACCACACAAGAAGAAGAAGAAAAGATAGGATTTATACCCCGCCCTTCACTACCCAAGGGAGTCTCAGAGCGGCTTACAAACTCCTTTCCCTTCCCCTTCCCACAACAGACACCTTGTGAGGTAGGTGGGGCTGAGAGAGCTCTGACAGAAACTGCTCTTTTTCAAGGACAGCTGTGCCAGAGCTTGTGACTGACCCAAGGTCACATCAGCAGGTGCAAGTGGAGGAGTGGGGAATCAAACCCGGTTCTCCCAGATTAGAGTCAGGACACTTAACCACTACACCAAACCACCACACAACCAGGATCAAGATTCCTAAGTGGACCAACAGACAGGCATACACTTGTTTGAGAAACTGAGTATTACATTACAACACCTGGAACATTACAGATCAGTAGAGGCAGCACTGCACAGTGGCCATCAAGATCAAGGGGAGGAGGTATGCAGGGCTGAGAGAGCTCTGACAGAAACTGCTTTTTTTCAAGAACAGCTCTGACAGAACTATGGTTTGCCCAAGGTCATCCAGCAGGTGCAAGTGGAGGAGGGGGGAATCAAACC